ATGCAGGCTCCCTGCCCCAGGCAGGTGCAGCACTTACACCCATAATCCCAGCAGTGGACCATAAATCAATCACACACTCTAGAATCCCACCCCTCATGATGGCATGAGCTTTGGGGGACATTCAGACACGAACCCTAACAAGAACCTTAATAAGGGAGAGATGGTCACCTTTGTCTTTGAAAGGTCATTCTGGACCAATAGGCAAGACTCACTGGGAGGGCCAGGTAGAGGCTGGTGGCAGGGAGTTGGTGAGCAGGACTGGCTCCTCATCCTTGGCCCAGGCTTCAGAGCCAGACCCTGAGTTTTCCAATCACAGCCGAAATTCTCAGTTGCCGTCCGACCTCAGTCACATTATATGAGCTCTGACTTGTGCCAGCGGGGAGTAAATGTGGCACTGGGGAGAGCAATCAGATCCCACGTGATCATCAAACCAGTGTGGAGCTGGCGTCCAGAGATCCAGGTTCTTATCCTAGAGAGTCTGAGAAAAATCCCACATACATGGAAATGCCCATGCATAGAAATCCACCCCCTCCCCCCACCCCATCCAACCTCAGCCAACCTCCTAAGCAGCTCCTACTCGCCTTCCATGAACGGACTCTGCAGGGGAGGACAGGCAGGGGTGTCTTCCTTGTGTCTGTTACTTGTTCTGGCAGGAGTGAGGGAAGAGGGGTTCCTGAGCCAGCCCTGGAGAGGGATGTCATTGTGCCCAGTAGGGCCCCAGGCCTTCCCTCACCCCCAGGCAAGCTCCAGACCGCAGGCTGTGTCCTGTTTCTCAGAAATACTGCCATTTCCCAGAGCCAGGCATTCTTAGGGGGATGGGAGGAGGTGACTCCACAGCTGCCTGAGGAGGAAGAGGAGGAAGAATACCCAGGAAACCTGGGGGCTAGGTCTGGCATCTCAATAGCACTGTCCAGTTTTAGACCCAGCTCCCTGGGAAGGTCAAGGGCAATAAAGGTTCTGAGCCCAGGTCTTCAGCACCTGCCCCAGCCCAGGACCTGGCCCCTTCCAGCCCCCTGGGATCCGGAAGGGTACAGTTCCAGCAACCTCAACTGAAACCCTGCTCTTCCGTTTACCACTGTGTGATCTTGGTGGGTCATTTTCTCCCCCAAGCCTTAATTTCCTCTTTTCTGTGATATGGTTAATAATCCCCCTAGCACTCCTCATACTGGGTGGTTTTAGGGGTCAGAAGAGACTGGATTTGAATGTGCTTTGCTTACTAACAGCCAGGCATGTGGGAGAGGATGCCACAAGCTGCCAGGAGAGGCAGTAGATTCATGGGGCTTCCTGCTGGGGTCTGGGGAGGTCGTCCAGAGACCTGGAGACCACCTCTCCCTTCTCCCTCATCACCCACACGGGTGACGAGCTGGGATTACAGTGAGTTTGTAGCCGAGGAAGGGTGGGATGTAGTTTGTCCCTGTGTTCCTGAACCTTGTCTTCCTCATCCCCACTCCTGGTTTTTCTCATTTTCCTCTCCCATGGCATCTTCTCATCACCACACTGGCTTGATTCTATCCCATCTAACCCCTTGTCCCATCCCACATGCATGGCCAGCCGTTCATCTACCCTTCCTCTCCCTCTTTCTCTCTTTCTCTTTCTCTTTCTCTTTCTCTTTCTCTTTCTCTTTCTCTCTCTCTCTCTCTCTCTCTCTCTCTCTCTCTCTCTCTCTTTTCTTTCTTTCTTTCTTTCTTTCTTTCTTTCCTTTTCTTCCTTCTTCCCTTCTTCATTCCTTCCCTCCTTTCTTCCCTCCTTCCTTCCTCTTTATTTCTCTCTCTCTCTCTCTCTTTCACTTGCAGTACTAGAGACTGAACCCAGGCAAGGCCTCACACACACTCTAGGTAAGCTCTCTATCACAGAGTTATGCCCTACCAGTGATGGCAAGCCTATGGCATGTGTGTTGCAGAGCCCTCTCTGTCAGCGTGTGAGCCAGGTCACCCCAGCATGGCCATGTTGCTTTTTTCTAAACTAAAGCCTTGGTATTCAGGTTTCATTGCAGTGTTGGCACTTTACAATTTTTAAATTGTTCTGGGCACTTGGTGTCTAAAAGGTTTCCCATCGCTGCCCCTAGCTCTTTCCATGCAGGGCAGGGTCTTGCTAAGTTGCCCAGGCTAATCTTAAATTTAGGATCCTCCTGCCTCAGTCTCCTTAATAGCTGGGATTACAGGCCGGCACTACCACATTGAGCTTTCTCTCTCCTTCTTCACTGCCAAATTTCTTTAAATCTTGCCTGTTTTCTCACTTCCCAGACACCACCTCAGCTCCCAAAACCCGGCTTCTTGGCTCTCCTGATGTTGCTGATGGCCATGGTCATCAAAGCTCACTGTCTCCACAGAGGCCCCTTTCAGGCCTAAATCACCAGAGCTTCCAGCCGCCATGCCTCCTGCCTTCTGTCTGGCTTCTGTGGTGGCTCCCTCGCTGTGGGACTCTGTCCCGGCCCCTTTTTTCTTTTTACCTTACAATATCTCCCAGGCCATGGTCCTTCCTCTCCTGGCTTTAGTCACCAGTTCTAGGATAGCTCTCAATACCTCGTCTCTAGCCCCGCCTTCTCTCCAGACCTATAATAACCCACAGGGCTGTGGCTCTAGGTGTGTCCAGCTGAAATTTTGGATGCTCCCCCAGGGTCACCCAGTGAAATTTCGGGTACATGCTGAGCCGTTCCGCTCCCTCAAACCTATGTCCCAGCAGTCGTCCGGTCTGCTTTCCCAAGTAAGTGTCCCCCTCACTGAGCGGTTGTCCTGCCCCACGTGAGTTCCCACCACGGCCCCTCCGGGGTCTCAGCCTCCTTCTCCGCCATCATTCCTCAGCTGCAGCCAGAGCCAGCTGTCTAAACCACAGATCTGAGCACAGCACCAGAGCCCTGCCAGGGCTTCTGCTGCCCTTGGGATGGAGTCAGGGCCTCTGAACCACACAGGAACCTCATCTCCCTTTGCTGCTGGCCTCAAACACTGGCCAGCAACACAGAGCTGTCTGTGATTCTCTGTTCTGTGCACTATTTTTCATCTTCTACAAAGAATTCTCTTCTATGCCACCACCCACCTCCTCTGTCTCTTCCTCCACCTTCTTTTCTACCTCCTGTCCATGCTTCAGAGCCCACATAGGGGTCCTCAGTCCAGGCTGGAGCTGTGTTCCCCGTTACGTCTGCCGTCACCGCCCTCTGCACTCAGGCGCTGTGATACCTCTGTCTCATCTGACACAGAACTTAGGACTTCCCCAGGACAGGATGGGTCAACACTGGCCTCTCGCGCTGTCAGTGCTCTAACACAGAGCCTACCCCAGAGCAGCTCGGTGTCTCATGAATTATAATGGAAGAGGAAGGCAACTTGGCATGAAACCACAGTACAGCTGCTTAGATCCACACAGTGAGACTCGTGCTCACCTACTGAAGTATGTGAGGGGGTAATGAACTGCATGTGCCCCCCAAAACCATGGAACGGGTTTGGGGTACATGTCATGGGCTCCTGATCAGCCCATCAGAAAAAAACAGCAAGACAACTTGACTTGTACCATCAGGAAAGTCATATGGGGATGGCCTTTCCCGTCCCAACACCCTGAAGCTGCCTCTGATTGCAGAGCCCTGACTCCAACCCCACTCTCCTGCAGTGGCGGGGTGGCAGGAGGTGCCAGCAGAAGGCGTGGCTGTGGGTGTCAGGGAAAGCTTCACTGAGAATAAGACATCTCAGCTAGAATAAGACATCTGGCCTGGAATATGGCCAGAGTCCACCACATGAATGGCTGGACTTTCACATCCTACAGTGCTTTAAGCGTGAATGCTCAGAACCCATCCCAAGGGTTCCAAGTTGAGCTCCCACAGTGAACGAGCCAGGGAACAATGGTGTCTTCTTTAGAGGGGACAGATAAGGATGGTGAGTGGAGGAGGTGGACGTCTCCTGACCCAGGACAAGAGGAAAGTTCTGGCCATATCCCTCCAATCCCTGACTCTCGACCAGGCCCCCCAGTACTGGCAAAGGGAGTCCAAGGAAGGTGACACCCATCCCTGCTCAGTGAGTGTGGCACTGGTGGGCTGCTGAGCAGACTTCCCAGACTAGGTCTATGGAGACAACAACAGCCAGGGCCCTCTAGGTAGCCGCACAAGTCTAGCCAACAGGCCTCTGTCTCTCGGGAACTTCCAGTCAGGCCTGGGCAGGCAGGGGTGGGGATCTGTGGTTGTGGGATGGTTGAAACCAGCTGTGCTGAGAGCCTGGCCAGTGAGTTGGGAAGGCCTGGGTTCTGCTCCTCCTGCCTCACCCATCATGTGAGGCTTTGGGGGAGACGTCTGCCCATCTGAAGTTCAGGTAAATCCTAGGCAGTCGGCGTTAAACGGAATCAGGAGCCTTAAAACATCTTTGAAATTGCAAAGACTTGTACATGTGGGCAGGATAAATTCTTGATTTGTCATTAGTTGTGAATGTTAGGCCTTCTTCTCAGACCATAGTGCCAAGCTGGCACTCCGACTGCAAAGCTTTGGAACTCGTTGGAGGTGGGGATGTTTGGGCTTCTAACATTGGTCACGCTGCGTGGAACTCGGGAAGAGTGCTGAGCTGAAGCGAGGGCCCTGGCTTCCAACTGCAGCTCTGCTACTAACCAGTCCTATGCCTGCAGGCAAATCATTGCTCCTACTCCTTCCTGAGTTCAGTTTCCTCACTGTAAACAGCCCAACAATGGTAGGGCCCTGCGGAAAGTGCTCTGAGGCTCCATTCACCACCCCCCAGCTAACTAGAGCAGGTCCCCCTTCTTAGGCTGGGGAGGGGGCTCTTTGTGGAAGTGAGAGCTGCCGTGGTTGGGGGTGAGGCAGTGCAGAGTAGAGGACAAGGCGCTGTGGCATTCAAAGTGCCAGGCAAGTAGGCTGAACTACCCCTGGCATGGTGACAGCCACTTCAGGACTGGGCGAGTTTCCAGCCCTCCTCGGTCTGCTTCCACCCTGCAGAGTGGAGAGGACCAGGCCAGCCTTGTAGAGTCCCCGGGAAAGCTCGTGGGAGACTGGACATGAATGCATCAGACAGAGCTGAAGTGCAATGCAATTTATTTATTAATATAGAATAACAAAAACGATGGAACTCATTTCTGCAGCTACTTAGGTCTTTGTTATAAGGTCTTGGTCACTTTGTCTGGACTGGCTGTGACCTTCAGCTCCGGAGTCTGAGCTAGAAAGACGTTCCAGTAACCTGTATGGAGGGAGGTGGAAGAGAGAGGAGGGTGTGCATGTGCACACGTGTATACAATAGTGCACGTACAACATGCACACATGGGCAGGTACAACAGAGGTCGTGACTCTGCTGTAGGCAGAACAAAAGTTTAGGGTAGGAGCAACTGTGTGGGCTCCGGGCAGAGCCTGCAGGGAGGGTGGAGATGAGTATCTCCCTCATACAGCTCTGCTAAAAGATGCCCCCTTCAGACAAACTGCACTTCGGGGCTGGGCTGGGCTCCTGACCAGCTGGTAACATCCCCATCAGTGACCTGCACTCTCCTACTTGAAGCCCCACCTGGCTCCATCTTCCTAAGAGTAATGCAGAACAAATTCAGCACAAAGGCAGGTTTCAGGGAGAACTATTCCAGAAGAAGCGGAGTGGGCACACCAGGGTTTGGGGGCTCAGACCTCCCCCAGCCCCAAGGCCAAAGCCAGCCAACCTGCTCTGCCTCACCTTTCCTCTCTTGCTTCCAAGTTGGGAACCACCCCCCACCAACAGCCCCCAAGGATTCCTGTGCTGGGAGCTGACGTTTGTGCCTGACAGCCCGCACCCCCAGGCCCTCCTGGCACCGGCGGCCTGGGACCTCCCCACGAGGTCCGACCTCCTTCCTGCTCTCCTGGTCCCCACCCCTCAGCCCAAGGTCCCACCTTCGTGGGTGCCGATGAGCAGCCGGAAGTTCTGTGCCTCTTTCTGGAAGTCCTGCTTCCTGACTTTCTTGATCTGAACCAAGTGGAAGATTCCTGAGGGTAGAGACAAGGGCATGAGCAAGACAGGCGGGGCCTCGCACTCACTGAGGAGGGTGATAGACTCTGAATTGATCCAGCTGCCTCCCTCTCCAACCCCCATTCTGATCAGACACCAAATCCTGTGGGAAATTCACCTAAATGTTTTGAATCTGCCACTCTCCTTCCTCAGGTCCCTGCTGTCCTGTCCAGCTTACTGGATGGGTGGATGGATGTACAAATACATGGACATCCAATCTAGGGTCCTGAGCCCCTTTGCTCCCCTTGTAATCCTTTTTGCAGACAGGGTTTCACTATGCAGTTCAGGCTGGCCTTGAGTTCATTATGTAGCCCAGGCTGGCCTTAAACTCATGGTGATCCTCCTGCCTCAGCCTCCAGAGGGCTGGGATGACAGGCATGCACCACCATGCCTGGCTCTCCTTTGTAATCCTAATGATGGTCATTTGACATGTGCATGTCATTCTGTTGGTCCCCTTCTCTGACTTTCTGTCACCTCCACAATAAAGCCCACGTACTTCATCCTCTTTTCTCTCCTGACCCTGCTCCTATCACCAGCCCGATATGCTCTCACACAGCTAACCTATCCTACAGCCCCAGAAAGGAAAGAAGGAGGGAAGGAAGGAAACAAGGAGGAAGGAAGGATGGGCAGCAGGAAGGGAGGGGAGGTGGCTGGCTGGCCCATACAAACTGGTCGGGGTTTTCTTTAGGCATGGAACACGGGGTAAAAGTCAATCTCTGCTTATTCAGACACCAGAGAAATTGAGTTATAGCGCCCTGGCTACTGTCCAGGCCTAACCAAACACATGAAGCCCCCCAGTGGAGTCACAGCTTCACGAATGCCAGCCCTTCTGCTGGTATCTCCTGCTTAGCCAAGTGAATCACTCACCTGCCAAGCTTAGCAGGAATTCTTTCCTAGTGGATTTCCAAGGCAGTTCTAACTCCTCTTGGGGCACTCACAGAACTTGGCTTGTTTGTCATTGTACCCATCTCTAAGGTGCTGTCATTACATCTATTTCTACCTCCTCTACGAGACTTTGAACTCCTGGAGGGCTTTCCTCTTGGGGTCCTAGCTTGGCCCACATTAGGCATGTAGAATGAATCCCTGGGTGGATGGATGGATAGATGGACGGATGGATGATGGATGGGTGGACGGATGGATACAGATTCACTCTAGAAGAAGCCCTGAAGGGACAGTATTTGCTAGATCCCCTCACTTTTGTGTCTCATGGGGACGTGGCCACTGGCACCACACATGGCACCGAGGCACTGAACACATGGTTGTGCGGCCACACCAGCTGTTACCCACCAAAGCCTCTGGCCGGAAAGAATAAACAGAACCAGGAAGGCCCTTGCTAGAGTAGCATCACCATCAAGAAAACCAAGAAGCCGGGGATGTAGCTCAGCGGCACAGTGCCTGGCATGTGCGAGGCCCTGCGTTCCATTCCCAGTAACCAAAAGAAAGGAAAAGAAAAGAAGAAAAAAGAAAAGAAAAGAAAAGAAAAGAAAAGAAAAGAAAAGAAAAGAAAAAAAGAAAATCAAGAACCAGATTGCGACTCTATCAAAGGGAGTAGGAAACACTGATCCTGGGACAGTCTCATGAATCAGGAAATATCTAGCACTGTCCTAGGGACCCTCTGCCTAGCTGCCAAGGGCCAGGAAATAGTGGCTCCAAAGACCCAGGCGCTGCAACAGAGAGGCAGGCAAAAAGCATGAAAGGAAATGTAGACCGGTCCTTCTGCAAGCCTGCGACTGCATGCTCCACAGGGCACAGAAACATTGAAAAAGAGGCGACAGGGGTGAGGGCGGTCCGTAAAGCATGATAGAAAGGAAAAGCTCTTTGCCTTGGAATCAAGAGCTAGCTTGAGAGTCATGGTTGCCCCTGCTGCCCTTTGAAGGGCTGTGCCAGGTCTGATTGCAGCTAGGCTGTGTGGCACCCCAGGCAGATCTGGGGACGAGTTCCAGGACAGAGACAGGTTCCACTCTTTGTGAAAACAAACTGTCTCTGGGCCGAGCTGCTTGCAGTGCTGGGAGCGAGTCACCTCCTGGGGAGGGGCTTTGGGTTGGGCATGAGGGAGCAGAGATCAGCCAGAAGTTGCAGGGGGCTTCCACCCTTGAGGTCTTTTCCACCGAGACCCTAGACCCCCAAAGGCCTTTCACTCTAAGTCTCGTTCTGACCCCGCCCACCTTGTTCCCACTCAGCCTGGAGAGCATTTGTTTTGACCTCTGCAATCTGGGACCAGGAAGGAAGGACAAGGCTGATGGGAGATTTTGGAACTCAGGGTCCAGGAGACAGGAACTGTTGCTAGTGACAGGAGGGAGGGCCTGGCATAGTGAAGCTGAAGAAACCACACCCCTGCCTTTGTTTCTCTGGGCCCGTGACGATGAGCTTGGCCATGAGTTCCACCCACTCTGTCACATCTTGGGACTCCTTGGGTTTCTTCAGGCACCTCCTAAAAGCACAAGGTCATCCCTGGGGAAGTGGCACTGGGGACTGTTAGATCTGGTTTGAATCCTTCCTTTACTGTTTAAATTGTGCCTTTGAGCTGGTGATACAGCTCAGTGGCACAGTGCCTTCCCGGTGAGTGCAAGGTCCTGAGTCCCGGTACCAAAATAAATAAATAGTGCCTTTGAGAAAGTCATTTGACCTCTCAGACTGTTTTCTTATCTGCCAAAGGGGGTCTGAGTACGAACCTCTTCGGTTCCTTATGAGGGTTAAATGAGTAACAATGTATGTACTGAGCACAGCACGGGCACATAAGCGTGAGCGCCCTCCCTGTCGCTGCCGTCCTGCCTGCAGAGCACCCTCTTACCGCTCCAAATCCCTTGCACCTCCCTAAGTGGTGGAGGCCCGTCCTCTACAAAGCTTTCCGTGAGCAGCTCGCTTCCCAGTCAGTTCCTGCTGCACCCAGGTCATTAGGCTAGGCACAGAGGCTGGGGCGTGGGACTTTCTGGGGCCCCAGCACCTGCTGGGGCACGGTGCAGGGTTGTGGGGAGGCCCACATGCAGCCAGAATCAGTAAACTCTCAAAGCTCAAAACCATGGCAAGTCTTACTGAATCTAACTCCCACTCCGCGGCAGCCACCTCACCCAGGCCCGCTGCACCCTTTCCATAAGTGGAGGCTGCTCCTTTCTTTCCACTAAAGGAAGGCGCTAAGTGTGAGAGAGAGTGCTCCTTTCACTGAGCGGAAACCTGCCTCTCTGCAATCCTAACCAGCTCGTGTAGTGGGAGCAGGATGCTGACATTCTCAACAGCTACTGTAGGTCAGGGGCGGGCCCTATGCCATCACTTAATCCTCCAAAGCCCATCTTTGCCCAATTAACAGAAAAGAAAACTGAGGCCCAGAGAGGTCAAGAGGTTGCCTAAGATCACAGAGCTAAGAAAGAGCAGAGCCAGGATTCAAAGTGGCAGAGGTAGGATTTGAACCCAGGTCAGCCAGATTCCAAAGCCCCTGCTTGTGGTCTGACCATTGCAGTCACTGAGAATGTGGCTGTTCCCTCTGCCTGGGGCAGCTCTTTACAGCCATGAAGCCAGCAGTCCTGGCCCCCTGAGTCTTCTCTTCTGCAGGCTGAACAGTTCCACTTTCTTCGTCCATTCCTTCTACAACAGGGGGCAGAGTAGAGCAGGAAAAGAGCCGCATATGACCAAGACATAGGCTCTAGCACCCGTCTTCAACTTACTGGCTGTGTGGCCTTGGGCCAGGTACTTCACCTCTCTGAGTCTCAGTTTCCTCATCTGTAAAATGGGGATAATAATGCCTAACTCTCAGGATCATCGAGGATCAAATAAAATAGTGAATGTGGAAGCACTTTGGAAACTCTAAAGTGCTAAGCACATTGGTCGTTATTATCATTGTCATCATTCTTGTTGTCATTCCTTCTTCCTCTTTCCACCCCCACTCCCCCAAGCCCATCCTCAGTGGAGGAAAGTAACCTTGTCACCAATTTTCATTTAAAGAGTTTAGTTTAGAGCATGGCCTACTGTTTCACTCTACCCAGGGAGTTTATGTTTTATAAGAAGAGCCTAAGACTCAGCAAATTATCAAGAAAATGCCTCTTGACCTTTACTTGGTGATTCGGGCAGCCTGGTAAATAGAGTGTTTTCTCACAGAATGAGAAATATATTCTGAAGTCAACTTACCGTAGAGTGATAGGATCCACCACTAAGAAGAGGCCGAGTGCAACCAGCCTCAAAACCTCCTGCTCTGGGGATGCTGTGAGGGTCTCTTAGTTGCAAAGCTCTCCCATATGCACTGGCAGAATCTACCATTAGCTATGGATTCCTTAGAGTGGCTCCTTGCAAGGTGTAATAACCCCTTCTGCCCAGGAGAGGGAGCACTTCAAGGCCAAGCGTCTCAGTGTGTGAGCTTATCAGAACTGTCAGAGAATCGCAGGCAGAATCAGGGACTCTTAAAATCAGGGATTCTTACACCCGGAAAGGGCAGCCAGAGGCAGGTGGCAAACAAAATGTTCCTAAGTCCCCTGTGGAGTCTGGAGGACAGAAAGAGGAACAGGTCAGAGGCACACCCAGCCAGGAGTGGGTCACTCACCTTTTACCAGTTTCCAGAGGTAGATCTCCACCTGGTCTGAGGCCTCATGCTCCAGGGCGAAGCGATGCAGGCTGTCTGGGCTTGGGGATACCGACGTGTGGATGAGGACGCGGCTCGGTGCCTTGGGACACCTGGTGGAACTGATCTCACTGTGGCCAGGATCTGCCCTGTCCTCTGGGAAAGACAAGGAGCTCATAAAGCATTGACTCTTTCTTGAAGTGACTTCCTTGAAGTTTTGATGTTCTAAGCTCTATGATTTCATGGAGTCCAGAACATTATTTGATTTTACATCTATGTCTGAGTCTGTTACTTTAACGTCAGACAGATCTATTGAAGTCCACTCCTGTGCTTCTAGCAGCTGTAGCCCCTGCCGCTGAGTGCATGCGCCTCCTCCTCTGAGATATTCTAAGTGGCCCCAGTGAGAGGGATCTAGGACTCACTCTGGCCAGTATCCTCCCTTCCCCAGCACCTCCTTGTACCTGGGCAAATCTTGCAGCACTTCCCGGCCGCTCTCTCCGGGTGACGGCAGGGATACTCAGTGGGGCAGGTCATGTGCTGGCAGTACTGGCGGCCGTCCTGACAGGTGCACCGGATGCAGGGGAGGGGGCCAAAGGAGGGGAACACTGGATGCCACACTTCCCCGTGGGAGTATGTCTTTCCCCTGTACACACAGGCTGGGGCGAGGAGGGCAGGAAGGGAGGAGTCAGTGGGCAGGGGTCCCTTGGGGAGCCCCCTTCACCCAATCTGGGCCAGTCACACTGCCTGCAAAGTGCAAGCCACAACATAAAACCTGTCTTCTGGCCCCGACACCCTCCATCTCAGCATCCAGGGCTGAGAGCACCAAGAAGGACTTGTTAAAGATGGAGAGCCCTTCCTGGCCTTGGGGGATCTTTTGGTGGGGCAAGAAGAGTGCTGGCCTGGCAGTAGAAGACCTGAGATCGACTTCTGTCATGACCTGCCTGTGAAAGCAGGTCTCCTTCCTCCTCTCTGCCTCAGTGTGCCATCTGTCCAATAGACTAGGATTCGGTAGCCCCGTGGCTTCCCCTCCCCATTGGTTAGGGAGCCCTGCAGAGAAGCTCCTGTCTTCCCCTTCTGCAGCCACAGCCACCTCACTTCATCCCCACTGGCCCCTGCAGCTCCTTTTCTGCTCCCTCCTTCATCTCAGCATCGCCTTATGTTAAAATAATTCATCATGTGTCTGTCTCCCCTGCTGGTCTAAGCGCCCCTGGATGGCAGAGACCATTTTTCATCTCTCTCTTATTTCTCCTCCATTTCCCATTAAAGATAAGAGAGAGGCTCAAAAAATACTGTTGTACAGTTCCAGAACTTGTTTGGTCACTCACTGGGTACTCTGCACCTTGGGGTCCCTGTCTGTCAAACAGGCGTTACACTCGAAGGCCTTCAAGCATTAGTTCATTTTGACATTCTATGCATTACAAGCACACAGCTAAGTTGAGACTGGGAACCAGAATAGTAGGGGGAGGGTGCGGGAGGTAGGAGCAGTTGGAGTCCCCCTTCCTCATCAACAGGTTGGAGGAGGGTTCGGTCCCCACCTTTGTTATGTGTATCCTTCAGGACAATCTTGACAATTGTGCTGCCTGCCCCCTTTGGTCGGAAGTGGCGAGGGATAAAACCCAGAGGCGAGCTGGAGCCAGTGGGGGCCAGGGGGCCTGGGGCTCTCTTTCTCCCGCCTTCACTGGAACACGGGTCCTGGGAACGGCTCTGCAAATGGCAGGGAAGATGCAGGTCACTGAGAGCAACAGGCCACTGCTGGCGGAGGAGACATGAGCCAGGCTGCAGCAGGAGGCCTGAGAGTGGGCACCCGCAGACGCGCCAGTGAAGACGGGGCATAAACCCTAGACAGAAAGATCTAGCTGGGGTCTGAGACACTCTCAGATGAGGATCTTTGAAAACTCTAAAAAGATAGTGATCAGAAATCCAGTTGACCAACCCTTTCTCAGCCCTTGTCAGACCAGGTCCTTGAGTCTGGGGTGGGTGGAGGGTGCTGAGGTCTTGCCCTGGGAGACACAACTGACCAAGGATGTGAAGCAGTTAATAAGAAACAGAATAGCCAGCTGTGGTGGTGCACACCTGTGATCTCAGCACTCTGGGAGGAGAAGGCAGGAGGACTGCAAATTCAAGCCCAGCCTGGGCAGCTTGGCAATTTAGCAGGACCCTATCCCAAAATGTAAAAGATAAAAAAAGGGCTGGGGATTGTAGCTCAATGTGAAGACCCTGGGTCCAATCCCCACTACTGCCAAAAGAAAGGGAGAGAGAGAGAGAGAAAGAGAGAGAGATAGGGAGGGAGGGAGAGAGGGATGGAGGAAAGAAGGAAGGAAGGAAGGGAGGGAGGGAGGAAGGAAGAGTAGAAAGAAAGAAAGAAAGAAAGAAAGAAAGAAAGAAAGAAAGAAAGAAAGAAAGAAAGGGATCCTGTGGCGTGGATGTGAGCTGGAGAATTCTGTCTCAGGAAGCTAGGTGATGGGACAACGGGATGGGCCTCTGAGGGTCCCAATAGGCTCCAGAATGCCACTAAGATCGGGCCCCATCCAGAGACAACGGGTTTTTGGAGCTCAGGGACCATTTCTGAACGCCTGAAATCAAGGCCCCAAGACCCTGCTTCTCCAGGTCTTGGGAGGGCTGCAGGGACAGTAAAGGGTGGGTAGTGAAGGCAGCTTACAGGGCGAGAGATTGTTTCGGCACTGGTCAGCCCTCGGCCATGGGAGAGGAGCAAGGGTTGGTGGCAGGGAGCAAAGTCTATCACCTCCTTTGCTGGGGCAAGCGATTTACATCACTTCTTCTCCAGCCCGGTCCTGCCCCGTACAGTCTCTGAGTCAGAGACTGAGCCCACAAAAGCTTCCAAAGTAGAAGGTGTCCGAGGCCCCAGCACAGGCCCAGGCACACAGGAAGTTCTGAGGACAAGCCTGTTGAGCAGAACTGAGGCAGGAAGGATTCGGAGAAGCCAACCCCCAAATGGTGACTTGTCCAGGTCATCCGGAAGTCAGTGAGCAGCTGCTCAGGGCCCGGGACTAAGCCGAAAGTGTGGCTGGAAAGGAAGGGATGGCTCAGGTCCCGTGGCACAGGCCCCACCTGAGGAGGCCCAGCCTGGAGAAGGGGGACAAGCTGGCAGAGCAGAGATCCTGAGCTCGCACCCTGGGGATCCCGCTGTGCTCAGGACACAAAGACAGCAGGTGCAGTGGTCTACATCGTGGACATGAGGACTGACGCGGACTTGAGTTTGTGTGTGGCTCATTGTCCCAACTCCTTCCTCTCAGACCAGAGAGAGCCGAACTTTAGACAAGATCCAAAGGGGCCAAGCTAGAGTGAGGAACCGAAAGGCAGACCCCAGACAAACACCAGTGCCCCGGGAACCGGGTGGGGAAGCCTGACCCAAGCCAGAGGCGCCTCCCTCAGGAGGGCTGGTCCTGCATGCAGCCTGCGCTGAGGACAGACAGAGGCTCTGGACGCAGCACTGTCAGCGAGATTTCCAAGAGAGAAGAGGAGGCTTGGTGCCGGCTCCCACCCTGTGTGGCAACCTGTTCTCTGCCAGGAAGGGGGCTGGACTGTGTAGCCGGCCCAGGGGACAAAAGACATGAGGACAATAACTGGTATTGCCCACTTCAGAGTCAGGCACATCTTGGCCCTGGATGCAGCTTCCCCTGCCCTCCCTAGGGGAGAGCTGTGTACTCACCGCGCCCCCCTGTGACTGTGTGGGGTCCTCTTCAGCTGACTTCTCACTTGCCCCGTCTGGAAACTCAAACAGAAGCTGGGTCAGCCTCAGCCTCCTCAGCCTCCGCCTGTAAGCTCTGCCCTTCCCCAAACCTCGCCTGCCCCAGGGGCACTTACCCCTTCTCACCGCAGCCTCTCCTTCCCCCACAACAGGGTTGCACCCTCAGTTTCCCTGCACTGACCTCCGGTCACCATTAGGACTGAACTGCTTGGCTGGGCCAGATCACCGTGTTTGATGTTTGTCACCTCTGGGACACTGGGCCGTCCCTGAGTGCCCATCCTGGGAGGCCCAAGATCCCAGAATGCCATGCCTGCAGCCAGTTTAGTCGTAGTCTCCCGGACAGTCACTCCCATCTACACTTGAAGTCACGGGGCCTTGGTTTTCAGCACGCACTCCCAGGGCCCTACCCCCGGCCCCTCTGCGCCTGCGGTTGGTCACCTTAGGACTCTCCCAGCCACCATTCCCTGGGAACCGGCGCACCTAGCCCTTCGGAGTCTTGCAGCCTCGCAAAGCCCTGAGTGGGGCTCTCTCATGCTAGCCCTTGCCTCGCTGCAGCCAGGCTCCCTCTGAACATTCCTGCTTCAAAGACCCAGAACTTTGGGCTCAGGCTGTTGGAAATCTCTGCAGCTGAACTTTCAGTGTATGTCCAGCAGGTGCCCAGGGAGGGCAAGGACTTTGTGGAGTTAGCTGCAAGAACCAGGCCTATATTGGAGTCACCTCATGCCTGTCCAGCATGTTTTCCAGAATGCCAACATCCGGGGACACATGCCCCTGGGCAGCACCCCCCTACCTGAATGCTGCCTCCTCCGGGAAGCTTTCCTTGGCCGCCCCAGTACACAGGAAATGGTGTGACCACTTCTCTCTGCCCAAGCCTAGCCTACAATTCACTAGCCATGTGCTGGCCTCTCCATTTCATCCAGAGATTCCACCTGATTGTGGCTAACAGAAGTGTTCTGGGCCCTGCTGTGCCCTGAGGAAGGCAGGGAGACTCGACCCCGGCTTGTTAGCCCCTCACCTGCTGCTCTTGCTCCTCTCTGCCTGTCTGACGGTCGGGACCGCGTCCCCTCATCGCAGGCCCTGAAGCAGGGCCTCTTCCACTGCAGCCAATTCCTTCCCTCCATGCTGATCTGGCAGTATCTCTCCTCACTCCCCTACCTCCTGCTTGTGCCCCCTAGCCCCACTTCTTAACCCGCTCCACTCCCACCCGGCGCTCCTGGGCTACAAGGCACCCAGAGCAACATGCAGGACATGGGAATGTCAGGAATTCGCACCCCTGGGGTGAGCTTTTACCTATAGGAGCAGGTGAATGGTTGGGTAGATTCTCACCTCTTCCTCTACTACCGCTCGACTTTTCTAAGGAGAAGACCACTCAGAGCCCAGGGTCACACTGGCTCAGCAAGCAGAGGCCTGCTCCCAGACACATTCCTGGGTTGCTTATCTCCCCTTCCCTGCCTTCCTGCCCTGTCCCTCGTGCCTGCTTCCCAGAACTACAGTAGGAACAACAGTGTCCCATCAGCCTCTGCTATGGGCTCTACTTCCCAGGGGAGTCCAGGGCAAGCCACCATCGTCCTGGGGAAGGAACGGTCTGTCACATGCTGGGTGCCCCTCGAGGCTACTCCTGGCTCACAGAGTCCACGGCTAGTCCGTGGGGCCGGGGGCCGGCGACACTGTCGGATTTAGGGACAGGCTCACCTTTGCAGGCCTGGCAGCAGGAGTCAGGCAGCGGGAAGGGCGCGGGGCAGCCGGGTTCAGGGCAGGTCATGAGGCCACAGTAGATCTGTCCCTCCTGACAGACAGAGCAAACAGGGGCTGGACGTGAGCTCTGATGAGGACCAGCCTTCAGGGGTCAAGGAGCCCCCTTCCTTGTGAGCAAATGGCCTCAAGGTCTGGAGGGGCACAACCTGAGGTCGGGGGCAAGGCCCAGCCAGCTCAGGTTCGTCCCTGCACCCTCCTCACTCCTGCTCCCAGCCCCGAAGAGATTCATTTTTCAGTTTCTGCAGCTTTTTGTACCCTGTCTTCCCCAGTCTCCCACCGTAGCCTGTGAGGGGCTCCTCCCCACCTTCCAAATGAAGGGAACCCCAGCGTGTGTGTGGAGGGCTGTGGCATCAAGTCAGACAGCCAAGGCAGAGCCCAGCCCTTAGGTTTTTCCCACTGAAATCAGTGTCCTTCTCCCCTGGCCTGGAACAGGGGCTGGGTGCAGGGTGGAGTGTGGAGGACATGCGGGGGACCCAATAGGTGACACCTGTGCTTATCTTCCTCTTAAGGAAAGCCCTGGGCCTCCAACTTCAGAACCCAGTCTTGAAAGGCAAGAAGGCAACCAAAGAGCCTTCTGGGAGTCAGGAGGCCAGATGACTTTGATAAAGACCTCTCTGGGCCTCAGTTTTCACCTCTGTGAAATGGGGACACACACACCCATCCAGTTGCAAAGACCAGCTGAGAGGATGGTTGTGAAAACTGTCGAAAGGGGCAGTGTTTGTGGGGGAAGCGGTGTGACCCTGAGTCCTCTTCCTAGTTCTTCCCAAGAGTCAGAATGTGACCCTCAGAGGAGGCCAGGAGTCAATCAGCCCCATAAACAGGGATGAGAAGAAGAGAAGGGGAACCTAAGTATCCAGGGAGAATGGACAAAGGAATTACTAGCATGTTCTTCCCAGGCCACCAGCATCATCTCTGCCTCTCCCCTCAGCTCCCTCCTAACCCCCGCTTCACGTGCGCAGCACGATACAGAGAAAGGACATGGGCTTCTGGGGTTGCATAGCCTTGGGTCTGCATTCTGGCTCTGCCACTTACTAGCTACATGGCCTTAGGTGAGTCACTTAACTGCCCTGAGCCTCAGTTTCCTCATCTGAGGAACAGCAGTAGTGATATCCTTCTCCTAGAGCAGCTGGGATGCTATAATAAACGGGCATTTCCATGAGCCTAGGGGTACAGCACACTAGACCACTGGGAGAGTCCCAGGCCCTGCGAAAAGAAACCTCTAGCTAGGCTGAGGAACAGGCACTCCTCAGTATTTGTAGGTTGTTTGGAGCCCAGATACTTTAAGATCCAGCCTCAGATCACTGGGGTCCTCTCTCTGAAGAGATGGGCAGCAGGCCCAAGGCCACACAGGGAGTCAGAGCAGAGCTGGACCTCAAATGTAGGTCTCCAACACCTCGTGTAGAGAAGACATTAGAAAAACCTAGTCAGACTCCCTCATGGACTAAGTGGAACTAAGGCCGGAGAAGTCTGACGACCACCTGGTGAGGAGACCGGGAAGGCAGAGGTTTCTCCTGCCCATCCGCAGCTGAGGTAAGAATAATGTGCCGAGAGCCACCGCAGACCTGATCAGATCCTGCTTGGCTTCAGTCTCTGTGCCCGGCTAACAACGCAGTCAGCCCTGCATTTCCTCAGGCCCAACCCTGACCACAGGCAGGAGGAGTTCAAGTAACTTCAGGTTACATTTCATTGCTACCATCTGGCCTCATCTCTGCGCCCCAGGACTGACAATGATCATTCACGCCTTTATTCTGCAATTACTACAGGGCTCTTCTGTATATCAAGCCCTGGGCTGAAAGTAGCAGAGAAAACAAACCAAATGGGTATGTTCTGGGGCTGGGGCTGGGGCTGTGTGGTTCAGTTGTCGAGCACTTCCCTAGCATGCCCAAGGCCCTGGGTTCAATCCGCAGGTCCCCCACCCCAAGCAATGTTCTTTCCTTGCAAGGAGTCCACCGGGAGAAACAAGAAACGGAACAGGCCATCGACTGTGGCAGGTAACCAGAGCTGTAACAGGGACCTTGGGAGAGTGTGGAGGAAGGTCAGAGGAAGGACCCAGAGGAAGGTCACCGATGCAGCTAGGGGCAGGGCATCCCAAACTCCAGAATGCCCTTCCTGCTCCCCAGCCCCATCCTTCATTCTGCTTTGCTGTGAGCAGGGGACCCCCCCCCCCCTGCATCCACACTGCTGTGCTCTTTGCAAGCTGGGACATTGGCCTGGGCTGCAGGGACAGCAAAAGCTCTTACTGTGCAGCTGCAGAGGACACACTGGTTGGGCAGGCGGGCAGGGAACAGCTCACGGACACTGAAGATCTCTCCATGTTGGTACATGGTCCCGTTGTGCTGGCAGGACTTGGGGGGGGCCCGGAGCCCAGAAGGGGTGTGAGGTTCTGTAGGTGCGGAGGGACAGGAGGAAAAAGAAAAAGGGGATTTTTTTATTTGTTTTGTTTGGTACCGGGAATCAAACTCTGGACCTCATGCTTGCCAGGCAGGCGCTTGTGCCACTGAGCTATATCCCCAGCCCCAAAATGAGGTTTTGTGTGCATCTGAAATCTTTGCCAGATGTAAATAGACCACCTTTCTAAAAATTATGCATTTTATCTCTTCTTGGCATTTAAACTGAGCTCCACCTTGGCTTTCCCAGCCATTCCCCACATCATCTAACCAAGACGTCCTGCTAGTACCTACATCTGACCATGGCCCTCCCTCCCACAGTCTCCACCACAGCCTTGCAGCCCCTTGGTATCTGAGATGGCCCTGACCAAAGCAAGAAGGAGAAGCCAGAAGCTTCAGCTCCACTGAGGTCTGTAAACACTCACGGAGCACTTCCCAACGCCAGGCACCGTTCTAGGCGCCAAGGCAGAAACAGCCGTGGAGTTACAGTCCCCGGGAGTCAGCTGACCTCCATTGTCTCTGTGCCTGGTGGTGTGAACTGTTGCCATTCACGCGCCACCAGGGCCCCCACCTGTTCGTGACTCAGCCCCCATCCTGCTGGTTGAAGGGGCAGCCCCCAGTCCCGAGAAAACCCACCATTCATTCAAGGCACCTTTGCTCAGAGCCTTCGCAGGAGCAGGGCCTCTGCTAGGCATGGGGAATGGAGTGATGACCAAGCTCAGCCCCTGCCATCAAGAAGCTCACAGCTGACTTGAGTGGAGAGACAAGCTGCAAACAGTGGCACTGCGGTATGCTAAGGTAAGGCACACGGGAGCACAGAAGCTGGGGTGGCAGAGGAGGAGCCCTGACTTGGCAGAGGAGAGGAGATCAGGGAAGCCTTCCTGAAAGGGCTGATGGCCACACAGTCTTTAAGAACAAGTACAGCTGAGCTGGCGAAAGGGCAGAGATTGGGGGGTAGGAAAGAGCATTGGAGGGTGAAGAGCACTGGGCCGAGGCGTGCGGAACCCTGAAGTCAGCCCGGAGAGGTAAGGACTGGAGTCAGCACTGGACGTGAAGGCACGATGCTTGTCTCTGGGTAGGACGAGGCTGGAGGCCTCTGCTCTCCCAGGGAACCCAGAGCCAGGAATCTTTATGACCCATGGTCAGATCCCACCTAGTAAATGGGTTCCTCCTCCCCAGGAGGGCCGAACGCCAGAGCCAGAGCTAAGGCAAAAATCTGAAGTCCTTTCCTCCCCCTCATCTTTATGCTCTGAACCTCCATTCTCCCACCCCTCAAGTTGGTCTTGGCTCTGGCTGCCCCTCACAGGCCACTTGGCTATGACAGTTTCTTCTCAGGCCGCTTTTTCTCTCTCTTCCCTTTACTACCTAAAGCTCCATCCCCACAGGCTCTTAGTATCCTAAAGTCATGGAATTATAGGCATCTAGCATTAGGACACATAGTGTCCTCAAATTTCAGCACCAGGAGGAACCTCAGAGTACAATGGATTCATTCCTCTGCCATCCCCAGCCCTGGGGTGGTAATCACTGTCTCCCCTACAGGATGGCTGTGGTTTGGATGCTGCTTGAGTGTGTGCAGAGGTCCATGTGTTGGAACCTCGGTCTCCCGTGTGGTGGCCTTGGGAGGTGGAATGACCTGTGAGAGACGGGGCCTAGAGGAAGTTGATTAGATCACGGGGGGCATTGCCCTTGGAGGGGAGCAATGTAGTCCTCACGGGACCCCAGTGCATTCCCATGAGTCAGTATAAAGCATGCTCTACCTCCTTCTGCACACAGCCAGTTCCCTCTCCATTTCTCTGCCACGTTGTGACCCTGACAGACGGGGCCCCATCAGAAGGGCAACCAGATCTTGGACCTTCAGCCTCCAAAACTGTGAGCTAAGTAATCTTCTTTTTTTTAGAAGTACCCAGGTATTTTGTTACAGCAACAGAAAATAGATAAATGCAAGGACCTCCCAAAGCAGGATCACTCACCTTTCCTGGAATGTGAGCCCCCACTTCCAGGCTGCCAGACAGACTGAAGCCCAGGTATGCCAGTCACCGTGCCAAGCAAGACCCAGTCTATCATTTATTTTCTCCCTCCCAACTGACCGTGAGAAGTGCATTGGTACCCGAGCCCCACTCGGCGACCCAGGGTGTTCCTGCCCTGAGCATGCCTGTGTCTCATCACCTCTGTTGTGTGGAGGCTGCACCGCTCCTCTCAGGGGCTTTACTCAGCCAGGGACCTGTGTCTGGGTGAGATAAGGGCCGATGGGCAGCAGGGAGGTCGGCACAGCGGAGGGCGGGACTACTTACCCACACACCTGGGACAGCACTGCTGCGGCTCCAGTACGGGCTGGGGGCAGTGGACAGGTGGGCAGCGGAGCTGATAACAGTTCACGTGGGCAGTCTGAAGGGGACACAAGGGTCAGCCCAAGGAACCACTGCCTCCCACCTGCGCAGGTCCGTTCCCAACTCCACCCCAACTGCAGAACTCTTGTTTTATGTCTGTGATTGGGGTTAAAAACAATAAATTCAAGTAAGCTCAGTCCCTTCCCTGCCCACAAAGGGGGACTGCCCCACGCGGTCCACTCGTCTGCATCCCCCCACCCAGAGAAGGGCCCTGGTCATGGATTTGCTCAGATGTTGTGCCCCTTCAAGGTGTAGGAGAAATACAAGTAAAAGCCTTGAGTCATTTTGACATTGATCTCAAAGCTTTGACTGTGCTATTATTGGGGGTAGGGTGGGGTTGAGACGGGGTCTCGCTTTGCAGTTCAGGCTGACTTTGAACTCACTATGTAGCGCAGTATGGCCTCAAACTCACAGTGATCCTCCTGCCTCAGGCGAGTGCCACCACACCCAGCCCTGACTGTGTTATCACAACTCTAGGGCTTTGTTCTTTTGACTCTGAGCCTGAGCCTGTGGGCAAGGGAGGAATGTAACACATGAGAGCAGGTGACCAGGAGGGGGAGAAGGCTGCAAACCTGCTGTGGAGAAGGCTCAGGGCTTTGTGATTCCCATGCTCTAAATCTCCGGGAGGTCCCGGTAACTCTGAACACAGCATTTGGAGTTGGCACCAGAGAAGGAAGGGCCCAGAGTTCTGCCTCTTTCTCAAGTACAGCAAATAAGAGAACTGGACCAAGAAACACGCATAGAGAGATGAACAGAAACAGGGAGAGAGGCCACCACCCCTTTGGGAGGTCTTCCCAGCTCTCCGGGCAGTGTCCAGGCCCCGCTCTGCCTAATCACACCTTGCTCTTCCCCTTGTTACAGCCTCATAGCATTGCATGGTGACGAGCCATGTACATCTGTCTCACCCAGCCAACCAAAGGGGTGGCCAGCACAGGCCCTCGCTCCACGTTAGGGCCTGCTAAGGTGCAAATGAGTGAATGAGCGAGTGATGCAGGACGACAGCAAGGAGAGGAGGCATAGATGACTTCTCTTAGGTGAGTGGACTCAGCTTTGTTCACAGGTGTGAAGTTGGTACAGAATGTTGCCAGCCTCTTTCCCCCACTCCTTCCCGCTGCCCTCTGCTCAGCAGAGGTCCTGACAGCACTTTTGCCCCACGGGAGGCCCCAGACTGGCCCCAGCCTCTTGGGGCTCCCTGCTGCCCAAGATGGCCAGAGATCACCACGAGGTCTAATTGGCGCTAAGGGGCCTCCGGGAGTCCACGGCACTGGCCTGAGCTGTAACAGTCGCCTTCCAGAGGCGTAGCACACGTGACAGCCACACCAGCATTAAGGGGTATACTGAGGCCCTCAGATGAGAAACTAGGGGGACTGCAGACTATGTCACCAGGAGAGTTAGAATCTCTTGACGCTGGCCTTGGAGGAGCCACAGGTTGTAGATGACCTGCAGCTCACAGCTGGGAATCAGGTAGAGACAGGCTGGGAGAGAAAGGGCCAGCAAGGCACGAGGCACCTGGTGAAGTCACTGTGGCCAAAGGGAACCTGTCAGGAGGGTCCCAGCCAACAGGTATTGAGTGGCTGCAAGGCAGGGCTTTTATATGAAAGATGCATAATTATCTCCTTTGTCTTCTTAACCACAACCTTAGAGTAGGTACTAGAGAAGCGAGACAAGACAGCCCCAGAGGCGAATTGTTTCCAGGCTTACAACAGGGTAAATACTGTTGCTGGGGCCCACGCCCTCACTGCACACACTGTGTCTGCCGAGCCCCCTTCTCAGCCCTCCAAGTGCAGCAGTGGGCGACACTGGCAAGCTTTCAGCTCCACTGCCCTTGCATGGTGGTGGCAGGAGATAGACCAGAAAACAGTAAGCAAGGAGGAACAAGACAGTTTCAGGTGTTGAATCTGTGGCAAGGATAAGGCAGAATAATGACTGGGTTAACAGGGTTAACTATTTTAGAAACAGCTGCAAGGGAAGCCTCCTGAGGAGGTGACTTTCATGTGAGGGACTGGGAGACAAGAGGGAGCATTTGTGAGAGGGCCTGGGGGACATTCGGGAGGAGGGAGGGAGCAGGAGTGTTTCACATGTTGGAAGCACCCCCAGGATGCCGGCAAGGCTACAGCTCAGAGACCAAGTACGGACTGAAGCCGGGGCATGAGGCAGGTGGATTCCACAGAGAAAAAAACCTATTGGACGATTTTAAGTGTAGAATGACATGATCAGAACCAGCCATTCCTTGCTGTGCAGAATGGATTTTGAGGCGGGGACAAGGGAGGCCTCTCAGGAGGCTTGAGCCCAGGAAAGAGGCAAAGATGGCTGAGGTTGGGGCAGCGACAATGGAGAGGGGTGGACTTGAGTGAATTTCAGTGTTTTGGTCTAAGCAAACTCTATGTGTGTGTAGGGTGTGTGTGGGGTGTGTGTGTGTGTGTGTGTGTGTGAGAGAGAGAGAGAACTCCAGGCAAGGAGAAATGAATTAGCTCCAATATTGTGAAACTTGGACTTGGTCAACTGGACTCCATGATATGTCTGGAATTTTCTGTTATGGTTTCCTTTTTGTTCTCTGGCTATGCTTCATAAAGTTCTTTTGGAAATGGCTGATTGGCCTCAGATGTGCTAAGGAAACTCAAGGGGAGGCAGTTACGGGGGCAGGGGGAGGGCAGTGTGCCTGTCTGTGTCAGGTTCTACCTGAGGCCAACCTGGTAGAAGCCTTGGGAATCAGAGGGAGAGACTCTGGGAGGAGCGATCCCCACTGTCCCTCCTGCCCCGCCCCTGGCCGTCTCAGGAGCTCTTCTCTGCCCCTACCCCAAAGGTCTGTACGAGAGGCCTCTGCCTTCCTCTCTCAGTCTGAAAGGGAAAGAGACATGCAGGAGGAGCCAGCTCCAACTGACAGCTAGCACCCCCTCCCACCAAGCACCAGCACCCAGACAAAAGGAGCTGGGGACATGCAGGGTGGCTCCCACTGTGACTGGGCTAAAGCCAAGGGTTTTTCAAGCCTCCTCAGAGACTCCTTCTCCCACTCAACCTCACACCTCACCTGAGAATTCTGGCCCCATAGGTCTCATTTATTCCACTGGATTAATTGTAAAAGCTCTCTGAAGTGCTGGGTGGGTACTGTAGTTTGGATGTTGAAGGCCCCCTAAAGGTCTATGTGGCTTGGTCCCCTGATTGGTGCTACTGGGAGGTTCTGTGGACCTTCAGGAGGTAGGGCCTTGTGAGAAGTCTTAGGTCACTAAGGTCATGCCCTTGAAGGGAGTTGAAGGACTCTGATCTCTTCCTGTCTGTTTTGCTGTGATGTGTGCCTCACCATAGGCCCGAAGTAACAGGGCCATTTGATCATGAAGTAGAACCTCCAAAAGTGTGAACCGGAATACACCTTTTCTCTTTATAAGTTGTTTATCTCAGGTGTTTTGTTATAGTGACGGAAAGCTGACAAATGCAGTTGGTCTGAGGTGGCAGGAGACAGAAGTGAAAACAAAGATATGGTCTCTGCCCCAGTTGGTTCAACCTCTGGCAGGGCATTACCTTGGGCATGAGTGAAAGCCCAGAAAGACTTGTCCTCAGGCACTCAGTCAGGAGCCAGCTCCAACTGACAGCTAGCACCCCCTCCCACCAAGCACCAGCACCCAGACAAAAGGAGCTGGGGACATGCAGGGTGGCTCCCACTGTGCAGAATGGATTGAAAGCCCAGAAAGACTTGTCCTCAGACACTCAGTCAGGAGGGCTGGTCACTGACTGATGCACATAACTGTCAATAGTGACCAGGAGAAAGGGACAGAGAAAGTTACAGGGGTGCCCACAAGCAGAAACTATACCTAGGTGAAGGTCATTTGCTCATTTGGTGAAAACCTTGAAGAGCAAAGATGTGGGCCAGTGAAGCTGGGGGAGCATCTCCTGAGGACAGTGGGGACTCAGGTAGAGGGAATCATACATAGGCAGGAAGGAACAGGAGGGAAGGTCAGAAGGCTCCTCTTGGGCTGTCTGGGAGGCAGGGAAGCTGCCACCAGTGCGAGCTGAGAAGGCTGGGATGAGAGGTGGAAGGTCCAGGGCCTCAAACCAGTCCAGCCACTGACCTGCTGTATGACTTATCCCCAGGAGGCATACGGGGACCATGTACTCCTACTACTGAGGACTTGGAAGTGAGGGAACTTGCCCCAAGCCCCTCAGCTATCTGTGACAGCACAATTGGAGGGGGCCTCGCTCCAGGTGCCCCTGACTTCTGGGTGCATGCTGTCATCCCACCTTCCCAGGTGATTTCTCTGTAGGTCTACCAGACACACCTGCTGCAGATGGCTTGGTGGCCAGAGCAACCTACCTCAGAGCAGGTACAGCGCAGGCAATACATCACGCCTTGTGGCTCCAAGTAAGGATGCCAGCTCTCACCCGGAGAGTATCTCTTCTCGTGGAAAAGGCAGAACAGGTCTGGGCCTGGCAAACCAACACATGCTGTTAGTCCCAGGAGGTGCTAGCCCCAAATCTGCTGCATCCTTCCTCATTTCTGGCTCTAGGAAGTACATCATCTGGACCATCCTTCAAATGGTCTCTTCTATTCAGACAACAGAGTATCCACCAGATATGCTCTCCGAGTCAGAGCACAAAAATGTCTGATTTTAAATCTTGACTTGACCACACACTTGCTGTGTGGTTGGGCCCCTCTCCGAGCCTTAACATTATCCACAGGGCAGCAGGGGCTCAAGCAGTACAATGCTTTATGGACTTTGTTGCGGTGTGAATGTCAGCTATTATGATTAGATGGATATTATGGGGGTCAGTGAGCATAAATTACTTTGCTAAGGCCACACAGCAAGTTAGTCACCAAGCAGAGAGGGCAGTCTGTCTTCTCTCAGTCTAGTGCTCCCGGTACCCTCATAACCACACTTGCTTCTTTTCTTTTGTCCCATTTGCTTATTTATTTATTTTAACATCATCATGACTTTCTTTCCCTTCTCTATCCTCCTCCCCACAACACAACATGCACACACAAGCACACACACAGCATGCACACCCACATGCACACACATATGCACATACAGAGCCTCTGTGGGCCCTGTGACCCACCTTTTGAATAAAACAACTCATAGCAGCTTTCCAGCTTTTATACCAAACTATTTCCTTATATCATGACTTACCACGATGGAAAGGTGGTTAGGAAACTGACCTCTCCATAGCCCTAAACATCATCTTTGCTACTGCTCTGAGATGTGCTTGGGACATCAATTGCCTTCTTAATAATCTGCATATTGGTTGTTAATATGTAGGCAAATGCTTCTAAAAATAGCCAAAATACTAGAGTTGTAGGGCACTGGGTGGCTTCGCTGTCTCTCCTACAGTTCTGCTCTCCTCAAACCTCCAGCTCTCTTTCATCTGTCCTAAACAAGGCAACCCTCCCCTCACCTCTTACCTGCTCCCAATCCCAGCCCTGAGGCAGGCCTCCTCCTGTCCAGTACTGCAGGCTCTGTCCACCCCTCTGCCTCTTGCCTTATCCCTGCCAACAATTCTCCACACAGGTACCAGGGAGCAGGGTCCCAGAAAGGATGCTATCTTTCCAATGGGCAGGCTCTCCACTACCTGAGCTCTTTTGGGGAGGGATGAGGAGATGCAGCACAAGCTAAGTGCCAGCAGAGCTTTGTCAGATCAAATAAGATTGCAATCTGGAGAAAAGAATCAGCCTGAACTTTCTATATAAGTTACTTAATGATCTAAATGTTGTTTTGAGAGGGAAATGGGATAGTGCTTGCAGAGTGTTTACCAAGCCCAGTTCTTGATACTTAGTTGGAATGCGCCTGTTATATAATTATGATAACAATCTCAAAGATACCACCCAGCAGACATGATTGAATGTCGTGAAAACTGCCATAGCTTGAAATCTGGACTAAATGGTAATATCCACCCTGCAGCAGTTTTGCCTTTTATGAGAAAGCTAGATAAGAGAACAAAGTTCATAGACTCTAAGTGACTTGCCTAATGCCACCCAGCTACTGACTTGAGCCCAGCGCTCCAGGCTTCAAAGAAGAGCTCCTTTGGGCTCACTTCATCACTTACAGTTTTTAACCCAACCTCCAAGCCTAAAGCCTCAACTTCCTTCTCTCTCTGTTTTACTGGTCACCATCCCTCACTTTCTGCTTTTTTTCTCCCTCCTAGATTCTTACTGGTTTTGATTCTAAAAGTTGACTTTCATGCCTCCGCTTTCCCACTTTCTTGGAAACATGGGCTCTCATGCTTTGTGAATCACCTTCTGTTAGACTTTTGGGCTCACAGAATGGCAGGGTACTGCCAGCGGTACCCTGTTGGGTGGGCTGGGGACTCACACATAACGCCTGTATTCCCAACTAAGTGCCTGAGTGGGCTGGACCACAGCTCCTGGCTCACCCTTCTAGGGAACAGGAGCTCTAGGCCATTCCTAACCCTGAGGAACTTTTCTTTATAAGAAATTGAAACCAGTCTCTCCTAGTTCCTCACATTGCTCCTGTTTGACCCTTTTGAACCTCCCGGGATAAGGCTTTGGGGTCACTGTCCTAGGCTGTCAGTTTGTGATTCCACAGGCCGTGAGGCCCTTAGGAACACACAGCTCAGTTTCCTCCCTACCAGCTTCTCAGGCCTCAACAGTGGAGGGAGCGACCAGACAGCAGATCCTTGCCCCAGTGAGCCAGCAAAGCCTGGCTGGCCCGTATCAAATGAGCTGTGTTTATCTCTCAGCCTCTACTGGCAGAGGGTGGAACACAGGCCCAGCTGGGGGACTGGTCCAGCCAACCCAACTCTCCAAGGAGTGAATAATGTCTTTCTTCCTTAGTCCCCTCCCCCCACAAGGGTGGGGGTGATTTCAACACTGTGGCCACCTTAGGTCAGCCAGTTGCTGAAGAAACCCTGTCCTACCTTCCTTGGGGCGGCCCTAAAGCTAGTTTCCCTGCCAGTTGGCATCCCTTTACCTCCCCTTCTGCTCAGAATTTGAAGACCAAAGTGTCTCCGCCAATGCCTGAGGGAGGAGGCCCCTCCCCCACCAATAGGCCTGGCAGAGGCTGAGAATGTGGGGGGCCTGGCAGGAGGCCTCCTGTGGCCACAGTCCCCAACCCACCACACCCTTCAAGGTGAGAAGCCCAAGGAGGGGTGGCTATGCCTGGAGCTGTCTCTTCCTCTAGGGAGGTGAGTGCCCAGGGCCATGCCAAAACCCAGTGGAAGGAGGACCAGCTGGGCGTGCGGCCACCTCTGTTCCTGCGGCTCTGGCAGCAGCCCCAGCTGGGCCTTGTATGTGGCCAGGAGAAGGAGCTCTCACTCCTTAAGCTGCACATTCATTGTGAGATGTCCTCTCAGCCTCAGTTTCCCATCTGCAAAATAAGGGTATGGGGGAGGACTGGGACCTTAGGGCTTTTGTGTAGTTTATGAATCTGGATTTCAGATCCTGACATTCCAGTGTTCTAGGTTTCAAAGACTGAAGATTTGAAAATTCCCTGTTTCTGTGAGCCTGCATTTCATCAGAACCCCAACTTTCTGGAATTCTACGATACTGTGGGTCTAAGATCTGATCATTCCAAGACTCATTATTCTTGGATATGTTAATGGTCTCATCTATCCCAAGCTCTCAGGGGCTCCAAGTAGATTAGAGTGGGGTTCCAGGAGTCATGGGGGCCAATTCTGAGTGACACCGTGAAAGAGGCAAAGTTTGTTTCTAACATCTCCTCCTTTTCCAGGCACACCCTTTGTCCTCTGTGGCCTTTCACTCCTGCCCTGGGCCTGGCCCTGCTCCCTCTCTCACCCACCACCATTTTTCATGCCAGCCCCCAACCTGTGTGTACGTCTTTCTCCCCAACTCAGGGGCCAAGCAGGTCTTCTCTCTAAGACCTTTTAGAGTCAGATAGGCCTGGGTAAATCACAAATTTAGCTCTTATTGGCAGCCTGATTTTAGACAAGCTATGTAACCCTTCCAGGATTGTTTTCATATCTGTTAAATGGGACCAATAATAATGTCTCCCTCTCATGGTTGTTGCAGAATTAAATCAGATAATGTAGAAATACACCTTGAATGTTTACATAAAGTTGATTACAGTAACAGGCACATTGACATTAATTCCACTCAAAATAACTACCCCTCTCTTTGAGCACACTTATCCCATTGTTTTTCTACTTTCTGAAGCAGTTCTGGAAGTTCTCTGTGAGTGTCTTTATCAGGTGCGATAAAAAATATGGTGAATGTGCCTGCAGCATGCCATCCAACAGAGAGGCAGGCTTGTAAAAAGCATTACGGTGTGTCCTTATCAACCTTATTTACTAGATCAGGCATCACAAAACTTCTGGTTCTTCCCCAAAGTAAAAAAGGGGAAGATTTAAAAAGGTAAACTTTTAACATCTACTCAGGACATCAAGGCAGTCACTATAGTGTGACTAAAGAACTTCAAGAAAAGAGAACTTTCAGACAGGGTTCAGAAAGTAGCCAGAAGGTGGGCATGGTGGTGCACACCTATAATCCCAGCTCTCAGGAGACTGAGACAGGAGGATTACTGTGAGTTCAAGGCCAGCCTGGGCTACACAGTGAGTTCAAAGCAAGCCTGAACTACATAGTGAGACCCTGTCTCTAAAAGAAAAAGTAGCTAGAATGATGAGATAAGTGTGTTTGCCTCAAGGGGGAATATTCTGAGGGAAATTAATGGCAATGTGACTTTTACTGCAATAACTTTGAAAATTTAAATATTCACTGTATGTTTTTAACATATCATGTATACCTAGTTGAGTACACGTTAGATAATCACTTAAACAGTGGGTAAAAACAGACAGGCAAAACCCCAATCTGGGCACTGACCCTAAACTTCCTCTCTGCGTGTTTCTCACAGTATTTCTTTTACTCCCCGAGTTCTATGTAGCAGCCCCAGGCACCGATTAAATGCACGCACATCACAGTACTCACTGGAGTTAAATCTCCCAGGCCTCACTGCCACACCAGTGCTATTCCTGCAGTTCTCTGCTTTCTTCTAGACCCACTAACAAGCCAGGCTGGTCTCCCTTAATACCACATGGGCCCACACAGATCTCGGGCTGGGATGCAGAAATGACAGTGGCTCGGGAAATAGGCAGAAATGGCAAGTCTGGGGCATGAGAGGCAAGAGATCTGCCTGGAGAAAAAGGCCAAGGCTCTCCAAGGGCCTAGAGAGTAACAAGGGCAAAGAAAAAGCAAGGGAAAACCTTAATCTAGGGAGGCGGGAGTATGAGATCAGGACTGCATTTGGGACTGCTCACTGTGGTGGGCAAACCTACAGGCAGAGGACAGGGAGAGCTGTATGGTCATCCTGTTTGAGGTAGTGCGGCACCTACTCTTAGGGCTTAACCCAAAAGGAAGCAATATTAAAGGGCAAAAGTGCAGATCTGAGCAACACTTCATAGGCACAGTGGGTAGGCAGTGGGACCAATCAGATAGGAGATGGATAGAGAGGGTAAAGCGG